AGAGCCGATGCGGGGGGCTGCAGCCCAGCGCCGGCCGCATGGGGCCTGCAGTGAGGAAGGCCCGGGCGAGCAGTGTGCGGCCAGGGGCACAGGGCCGCCAGCCTGGCCTTCGCCTCGACTGTGGCCACTCAGTTCTCCAGAGCCCATCGGTCTGTGGGTGCCACACGCCAAAGCCAAACAGCAACCGACCCCATAGGAGCCCATTGGCGCGAGAGGGGAGGCGTGAGCAGGAGGGCCCCGTGGCCTTGCTGAACATCGGGGCAGAGCTAGGGCTAGGGCATGGGGGTGGTGGTCCCTGGCTTGGGCTCTGCGCTGTGAGCCCCCCACAAAGGGTTCCACATTGCTTAAAGCTGCAGCATTTAACTCACTTCCAGGGGAGGCATAGGGAAAGGAAACCCCAAACCTAGGGCAGACTCTGCTACACGTAGCTGCCAGGGGCCACCTGCCAGCCCCATGTTGTGGCAGGGACCGAGCCAAGCCCCTGGACCCAGGCACCGGTGGCTCTCGACCCTCCTGGGCACTACTCAAGGTAGCAGGACGCCCGCGCGAAGCTCTGGCACTGCTCAAACCTATCCTGAAAGCGTTAACAGGCTCCATCGGCAGCTGCCAGGTACAAGCTATCGCACATTCATCTCCTTCTGGCTAATTCACGTTCCAGGGCTCTCGGCTTTCCCACATGCTGCTCTCCCTCCCTGGAAAGACAGGTTTTTCTGAAGAGATGGGTGGGCGGGCGGGCAGGCTCTCCGGGCCTAACCTCCAACCCAGTCTGGTGTTATGGCCTTGAAGTGCTTGCTCTTGGCTTCCACGGTCAGAAAGGAAATCCTCCGGAGAGGGAGATGTGCTGCAAAGAAAGGGTGGATGTGTGAAGAGAAGGTCTACCCAGGAACAGGAGGAGGAAAGCGGAGCGGGAAAGCAGAGAGGAGGGGAAGTTCCCAAGAATGCTTGGGGTCACACGGACGTCTGTGGGATGGGGAAGGAAAGGGAGATTTCAGAGGCACTCCAGGAAGCAGAGGACACGGGGAGGTTTGCACAGATATCCTGTTTCGAGCTGCTCCGGGAGCTGGCCTCCTGCCACTGATGCCTGGCAGAGCCCAGGCTGAATGTGGGCACACTGGGGCAGCTGCTGTGCTCTCCCCTAGCAGCTTCAGCATGCCTGGGTTTTCCCCACATCGAAGGATGACGTGGTCAGGCGTCCTCCCTGCGTCAGGCATGGGGATTCAGTGCTGGCTTCTGCCCGGCCCAAAGGGCCTCTGGGGCACAAGCGGGCGCCAAAGGCCCTGGCAAGGCTGAGGGGCAACGGGAGCCTCCCGTGCTCCGAATCAGCTCATGCTGTTCATCAGTTCGTGGTGGCTGGTTATTTCACTTAATACCACCCCTTCAGCTCCCTGGTGTTCTTCCCTTGCTGCAGAAATATACGGCCTGTACCTGACTTCCAGGGTCTGGACCCGTGCTGGACAGGGATCCCCTGGACATCCTGCATCCTCCATCCAGGAGGCTGTCCTGGCACATAGACAGGGATGCACTGCCCTCTCCTGGCCCTGCAAGTGCCTCCAAAAGGCAATTGGGGATCCTCAGGTGAGCCCAGGCCTGTACCAGAGCTGGTGAGATCTGCTTTTTTGGACTAGCATTTTGTGATCAATGCAACAGGAGAAAAAAAAATGGAATGGAAAGAAAAATAACAAGAAGGATTCAGCAGTTTGCTGTGAGAGAAAAGCCTTTCATCAGGGTGCCCTGGGCTTTAGCACCGTTCATACAAACAGGAGAGACTGCACCTCCTAACCTACCTGAAACACCGCTGCCACTGGCTGGAAGAAAATACAGGCGAAGTATCGAAGGAGCAGCAGTCCTTTCTGCTGTAGAAATAAGACCATCTTTTCCAGGCAAAGGCAGATTGCTTTAACCCTGCCAAGAGGCGATCTGTCCTGGATGCCAGCAGGTATGCTGCTGCCAAAGGTCAGCTAATTGTTTTTCTTTTTTCCCCCAAGGGCATCAATTAATGACCCATCTACTCTCATCCTCATTATATGTGACTATTACTCTGCTATTGCTACCAGTTTATTCCCCTCTTGGAGGAAGACAATCTCTGCAGATAGAGCTTAATTTATGGAGCATGGCCTTTCAGAAGGGCCCTGCAAGCACAGACTGCGGAAAGACGTTACAAAATCCCCTACTGCTTTTGCTAACAGCAGGGATTTACATGAGCTCTCCTGGCTTGCTGCAGCATCCTCCTCTGCCAAGAAGTCCCCCTTGTCTCCACCTGCAACAGCTGCTTTACAAGGGTATTGTTTAAGTGCATCAAAAAGGATTTTTCCCTTGGAAAGGCAAATGTACTGCAGTGCAGTTCCTTTCTGGCAAGGACGGGGAGATAATGAGATCTTTCAGGGATTAAGATACCTAGCTGTAAATTAGTGTGTGAAACACACACACCCCTCAATCCTGGAGCCGTGCATCACCTTCACTGTCTTTTCCAGCCTGCAGAAAGCTCTGCCACAAGTGCTTTCCCCTGGGGACCTTACCAGCATTCCTCTCTCGGAGCACGGACACGATCCAGCAGCACCCACTTGTGGAGGATGGGAAATCTGCACTGCAGCAGCTCCGGAAATGCAACGTGCTGCTAGGGACCTTGCCATGGCCCAGGCGAGCCTCAGGCCAGGTTTGGGAAAGCTTTGGGAAAGCAGAGGCACCAGCTCCCTCTCAGTGCAGGTAGCTCAGTGGGGCTACAACTGAGCACACCGTGGGGACATGCCCTGGCCCCTCCAAAGCCAGCACTGCTGGAGTGCACCCTGCAAACCCAGAAACGACTACTGAGTGGAACTCAGCATATACTGCCCATCATTACTTCGCTTGCTTGGCACATACTCTTATACTCTTATGCCTTAATACTCTAGTCAAGGAGGTACTCTGTCCCCTTGTAAGGGGTGCAGGAGCCCAGAGCCTCACTGTCACACAGTAAGTGCACCCAGCCATCTGGAACAATATCCAAATGCTCCCAGCAGCTCTCATGACCCTCCTAGCAGCCCAGGCAGGAAACAACTAGCAAAAAAAAAAAAGGCTACTCAGGGGGTCCTGAAAGAAGGTCTCACAGGCCCCCTGCAGCTCCCCTCCTTCATTGCTCACAGCTGAACTTAACTGGGGCTAACAGGAGGCAGGAGACAAGCCAGCAGAGACCATTGTACTCAAAGTGTGGACTATGTACTGAAAAACCCCTCCAAAAATCACTGTGAGAAGAGGGAGTTGCTCTGGAAGCTCAAACACAGGAGGACAGAGGTTGCAGGAGTCCTCATCTCTGCATTCACCTCACTAGGGGGAATCAGCACTCCACATATCTTCCTGCAGAGCTTTGAATTGCCCAAAAGGGCTGAAGATGTCATCCCTCCTCAGTTAGAGCAGCAGAGGGATACAGAGGGGACATTTCACTGAGGCTGCTGCTCAGACAAGCCTTCAGACACCAACTGCAGCTGCACAAGTGAACAGTGTAGCCTCACAGGAGCCTGGGGGAGAGAAGGAGGCGCCCCGCTGCCCGTTCCCTGGAGCACTCTCCATTCCCCTTGCTAGCCTCTCTTCTCCCTGGGCCTGGGGCTCAGAGCTTCCACACTTCCTTCGGACCAGCTGAAATTGCCCTCTATCAAGGGGCCAGGTATTCTTGAGATCAAGGAATACATGGATGAGAGCTGGGGTCATTCTGAACAGCAGGATGCTTCCCTCCCCTCATCTTCTCCCTATACCTGTCTCTGGTGTCCTGGGGACAAGCTCAAGATCTACCCATAAGAAAACAACTCTTAACCAAGAGCCCAAACAACTGGATGGCACTGAGATTATGACAAAGAGTCTTTGAGGTAAGGGATGCTTTTAAAAAAATCAGTTTATTTACCTTACAAATGATAAATAATTTGCTTTAGAAAAAAACTATTCAAGTGTGTTTTACTTCATGTCACAATATTAAAATACCTTTCCCTTTTCCCCCCACCCTCCCCCCATGAGATCAGTACAAAAATAATTGTGACCAAATGTAAGATTTGGGTTTTTTTTTTTTTGTCAAAAAATATCCTGAATTTTAGGCAAAAAGGCACACAGTGAGGGCTTTTCACCACAAGGTACCAGGGTTCAAAATGACCCCAGCAGCCTTTCTGTCACCTTGTGGGCTGTTCTGACCCGAATGAAAGAGGACACAGGAACTGGGCAGTAAGCCAGGAGCACTCTTGGGCTGGTGCCCTCCAGGTGTTTAACAGAGCCAAGGTCAGCATCAGGGTCATCGCTGTTTTATCTGTAAGGGAAACCAAGGCACAGCAAAGCAGTACAATACCTAAGAGCTTACTGTGAGTAGCTGGCAGAGTAGCACATAGACCTGAGGAGCCCTGGCCCTTGGTCCTCTGCTCTAAGCCAGGCAGACCAACATCTTGATCCTCCAAAGAACGGTGCAAACCTCACCTGGGATTGTCCTCCCCCTGCTCACAACCATAACATTATGATGGCACCCATCAATTTCTGCACATTTCTTTCTTAGTGGGAGAGTCATTGAACCAACACAAAAAGTTGGGCCTTAACTAGTCTACACTAGGGTTTTAGATGGAGCCTTATTCAACAGCCCTTTAGGTGTATACGTAATTGCTGGGATATATCCCTCTATTCTAACTTCTAGCCACAGGAAGGATATAACATCCAGATATTAGAAAAAGCTATGGGCAGGCTCTTGCTTTGGGTAAGTTTCGTACCTTTGTTATTTGAGTATATGGTCCCATAAATTAGCTATTTTCCCATTGGGAATTGCTGTTACATCACCAGGAGGTGGCAAAAATCAGTGAAGGGGCTTCTTCGGCGTTAGGAATGTTTGACAACTCAGGTTGTCAAGACCACTTCTTTCTCTACCCTGACCACCCCTAGGGTGCTTCAAGGCTGATGCCTGTTATCAGAGCTGCCCCCCTTCACATGTGCTAAGTCTAGAGCAGGGCAAAACACAGCCCCTTCCAGTCCTTTCTCCCAGAAACGTCTCACTCCTTCCAGGAGGCAGCCTCTCCTGGCAGCTGTCAGGAGAGCATTAACATGCAGTGAGCTAAAGCTGCTTATCACAGTATGAGGCAGTGTTAGGTGGGGAGAGGGTTTGCAGGGGGCCAGAAGGAAAGGCACACACAAAGCTCTCCTCGTACAAGGCACCTCTGCAGAACATATTCCTTCTTTGGAGCGGCCAACTCCAGGATGCCCCTTAGAATCATAAAAGGGGGGGCAGAAGGCAAATAAACTGCCCCTTGAAAAGGCCTGACCCGGCACTGCTAGGTCTCCTCGTCCCACAGGCACAGCTGCTTCTGCGGCACATAGTAATCAAAGGTGTAGCCCTTCTGACAGCTGCGGATGCCGCACTTATAAGAAGAAACCTTGCCCCCAGCATCCCGAGTCTTGCAGTACTTGAGCATGCACGGGTACCACTCGATGCTGAGCGAGTAGCTGCAGATGCAGGGTTTCCAGCGGTCTGTGCACAGCTTGCAGCGCTGCAGGTCAGGGAGGTCTGAAGTCTGAGGCAGGACCTCGAACATGGAGCCATCCACCCCTGGGGGAAGAAGCACAGAGATGTTGTTCAGGGTGCTGCTGCTGAAAGACAACACCAAGGGATCTGTGCAGATCACCAGTAGTCCAACAGGAGAGATCCCACCAAGCATAAAGGAACTAGTACCTTTTTCCAGCCAAAATTTCACATCTTCCTCTCGAGTGTAAATGGCTTCTTTGGCCTCTGCACAGACATTGTGAATGTGAGAGCTCAGTTGGGCACCTTTGCTGAAGTTGACAGCTACATCCATGCGGAGATGTTCCAGGCCCCGAACCTCCTCGGCCTGCCGCACTGTCCTGGGGTTTTTCTAGAAAGGATAAAAAACACAAAAATCTGAATCCTCATTGCAACAAATTATCCCACACAGGATACCATGACTTCATGCCAATGTAAGAAGGTGTGCAAATTCCTGAGAAAATGCACCTGCATCCTATTTGTACAGAAGGCACTTACACAACTTCTTGGCAATTCTGAACTGATAACTGATTTGCCCGTGCTCATTTATCAAGGCTTTGTCCTGATGGCTGGTGCCAGATTAGTACTTGCCTCATTAAATAATCTTTAGGGGGGTTTTTTATGGTGATTGCCCCAGGCATCCACTTCCCACTTAACACTGCCTAGTCTGAACTAAATCCTACTTCCATCTAGCTTATTAGTGGATCCTGATCATTATTATTAATGAAATTAACTTAATACTAAATCCCTTAAGCAGCAGGGGTGATCAAAAGCTGGCCCAGCTTTTGGGCTGAGCAATTGAGCAGCTGCCTGGGAAGGGTATACAGGGAGGACAGCATTCCAGTCCATGGATAGACTGGAAGATGGAGCTTGCACTGAGGCCAGCTGCCAGGCTGCATCTTACCTGCCGCAGCTTGGCCATAGACTCGCTGGGGATGATCTCGTTGCGGTGAAGCCGCGTGACGAAGCAGAGCGCTTGGAATTGACTCTGGCCCCTCTCCAGCTCCCCTAAGATTAAGGCACGAAATATCTTCACCTCCTGGGAAAAAAAAAAAAAAAAATCACTGCATTTAAGTCCTAGATTTCTGGCATCGGTGAACAGGCTTCAGGTCACAGAGAACAGCTCCATCTAAAAGAACAAATTCAAAGGTTTCATACTTCTGCTATTTGAACCAAGAAGTGTAGTCCCAGGTTCAATCCCACCCAACCTCACAGCCTAATTACTGCTGTCTGTAAAGGAGTAAAGGTTTTTGCAATCCCACTGTGTCAGGGACAGAAAGCTGTCCTGTGCCAATACACATCCCATATCCATGGCTCCCAAAAATAGCTGGCAGTTGTCTGTCCTCTACAAGAGAGGATGCAAGTCTCAGGAGTCTTGTCCTCTTCCAAGAGGAGATGCTCTTCATCAAATCAACCACTTGGGGTTCTCCTCTCAACGCAGGGAAAGCTGCCACATGTGTAGACTCTGCTCAAAGGCTGCTTCTTTTTTGCTGCCCTTCATTCAGTAAACGTCCTGCTGTGGCCACACACCCCTCCAGGAGAAATGCCTGGAGCCCCTAAGTTGAGCAGGGCTCGGTGCAACGTTTCACTCAGTCAGGCTGCAGTGACCTGCAAGGGAAGGGGAAATCTAAAATCGAATTCCACTTCCCCAGGGAAACTGTCTTTTAGTGTTTCACTTTCAAATGCCTAAAGGAGTAAAACATGTCAATGCAGCAGCAAAGTACGCATGTTCCCCCCGTATCAGAGAGAATGCTGTTAACAGGGTTATTGCTCTTCCTGTTACTGCAACATGGCTCATCCTGCTAGGGGCCAATGTGGGACCAAAAGACAGAGGGGAGAGGGCTGGAAAAGTGATAAGCACAGGCTAAAGGATGAGGGCAGAATGGAAGAAAGGGAAGCACAGACACAGTCCAGAAACCCCACTGTGGCACAGTACCAGGACGACTGGGAATGGAGGCTGTCCCTCCTAGGAAGAGCTAGGCAGAGGGACCAAAACGGCTGAAACCATATCTGAATCCACGTTACATACCACATGAGGCCCATTTTACTCCTGCAGGTTTCTATCTTTGAGTTGTAATTGAAGCCCTCTGAGGGCAGCTGGTCACAGCTTCCATCCGCTATCAACTAAAAATATCACACGTCTTTATTACAGCAAAAGTCCTCAGCTCACCAGTGAGCTTTTAGCAAGACGGGATTGTGCACAGGCAAAACCTGCACCTATCTCCATTAACAAATCTCATGTAACCATTATCTCTATGCATTACTTAGGGCCAGCAGTCCCAATTTCCCTCTGCTGCTTTCCCTCACTTGCTTCCAAACAACTGCTATTCTGGCAAACAAATTGCTAATTTCTGGACTCAACAGCATGTGGAACAGAAATGAAAATCATAAATTGCTAAGGCCAGAAGGAAGCCATTATGATCAGCTGCAGCTGACCGTCTTTTCTGCTGTGGTCAATACTTCTGGCATCTTCATATAGAGCTTCTGACATGCATTCCAACACATCTCCAAATCCAGCTTGGATGCCACAGTTACCAAAAACTGCTAGTGAAATTACTGCTGGTTTATTGATTTTTGACAACTCTCATGAGGAGAATTCCCACCCAGACATGGGCACTGCTGGGAAAAGCCTCATTCGCAACTACGTATCCCTGCCACTTTCTATTGAAGGCGGTCTGCTCTGAGCTCCCCCAAAAAGCAAGACCCAAGGGGGAGTAGATCAAAACCAATGGCCAACTTCGGCATATTTTTCAAACTTATTGGATTAATTTTGTTTTGCTTTACACAGTCAAGAGTTGAGTCTAAAAAGAGGAAAGCAAATATGGACTGTCATGTTTTGCACCAGGGAAAAAAAAAAAAAAGAAGGCACAACCACACTCAGCTACATGCAGCAGATTGCAAGCAGTGCCGTACTTGTCATTTCCCTCGGAGCACCTTACTGTATTACCTGGTCCCATTTCACCAGTGAGTGACCTAGTGCTACTGCTCGGCTAATCTAAATATTTATCCACCTACCTCTGTGTGCTTGCTGATTTATAGGCTTAGCCCGTGCACCCCTCACAGATGCCTGCAAACATCTTCACTGGGACAGCTCTTTGGAAGGGGATGGAGGGAGTGAGAGAAAGATGGGGAAAGGGAGGTATGAATGGAGAAAGAGCAAGCAGAGGGGAATCTGGCAGAGAATCTCCCTGCCACAGGCCCCTGAGCTGAACCAGAAAGCCTCCATGCCTGACTGCCTCCACCAGTACATTAAACTACAGATCTTTATCTGAGGTCACCGCTCCACCAGTCAGCTCCACCAGCCCTGCTGACGTCTCTGCACACAAGGCCACCTGGGCGGAGCTGCTGTCATCAGAGTCTGCAAACCTAGAGAGATTCTGTGCTTGGGATTCACCAGGAACCTTGGTGAAGCTTCCATGATGGAGCAAAGCCTTGCTCCAGCCCTTACTGTACATGCTGGCTAGCCTGTAACTGTGCCACACACTGTCCCACTCTTCCCAAAGACAAGAACCTGCAGCAAATACTCTCCGCTAAGACAGAAATGTCTCATCTTTTTCACAGCCTGTTTTCACCCATCTTCCTCCAAGTCTTGCCCAGCCCTTCCCGCTTTTCCCTGCTCTGGCTGTGCAACCACAAGTGGAACAGGAAGCTAAGCTTGTCCCATCGGCAATCTGTCATGTTTCTTGCATGGGAAGAGCCACCCAATTTTCTCCGGCTTTCCACCTCTAGCCACCTCGCCTCTTTCCCACCAGGAGGGGCAGAATGAATCAGCACCAAGGTGTGTATCCAGCCAAGGCAGCGGAAGGCACCTTTAATTCTGGGTTTCTGCAAAATTTCCCAGCAGAGAACAAGTCCCAACAGCACATTGCCTTTGCAACGCGGGGACTCTCAGGTGAACTCATCACGGGGGCGTTGAGAAGCCTTGGCCCTGACCCCTGCTTATGCGGCAGATACAGTTACAGCTATTGTTTAGGTTTGGACAACATGATTCTTGGTGTAATAGACAACAACCAGTTCTACAGCCACACTCTAGTCACGACACTGCAGGTAACCACAGCCTTAGCTTTCGGAGCATGGAGACAGCAGCTCTTCTTTCCTGATGGGAAAAAGAAACTCAATGCCCAGAGCTCCGATGAGCCCAGTCTGCCCTTACCTACCCAAGGGGCTTTCAGCAAAGCGCTTGCCTGCACCAAGGAGCAGAGAAGTCACCCAGCGTTCTCAATCCTCATGTTGTCCTCAGCCAGCTACTCCAGGGACTGCTCTCTGGGGTGCAAGAACAGTACAGCTTCCATTCCTAGGCTTTACTCAGTGGAGACTTCTACGTCTGTGTGGTCTAGATCTGAGCCCAGTCTCTCAACTTCGTCCTGTGTGAAGTGGAGCAGTTCCCAAGGAAATAAATTGTTTCAGTGCCTTCCTACCCTCAACTCACAGAGCTTTCCTGCCAAGTTTCTCTCCCAAGAACATCCATGCTGCTGTGGGACGCACTTTCATCTTATCTGCTGCTTGCGTGCTCAGAGTAAGGGGGTATGTGCAAAGTGAAGCAGCTGTTTGGAGCACTCTTGCTCTGGCACTCATGGGCCCACTTCCTCATGCTGTCACCAGCTTTGGCTGCCACGCGGTCTGCCTGTATCCCCTCTGGGGGAATGGCTACAGTCAACCAGGAAGCTGTTCTGCTTGTACAATACTCACAGAGCATGTATTACTGCATCCACACTGGGGGTCCAGCTGGCTGAGTTGTACTGTGGAGAGAATTCTTTTCTAGTGTCTCTCCTAATAGATATAGCTCGACCAAAACCATTTCAGCACACAGCCTCTTAGCCTCCTCTTTTGCCCAGTCATAGCAAGAGGCTGCGAGAAGCCCCAGCCCTCCACAGGGCTCTGAGATACTTGGCACATCATCCTCTCGTTAAGCATCTTCAAGCTCAGCACCTACAAACCGAGGCATGCCAAAAAGCAACTGTCAGAAGCTGCATATGAAACTGGATCCTACCTAAGTGAACTGCCCAGGGCTGTGGAGCAAGCATAGGGTTGCTGTGGCTGGCAAGGCCATTCTGCCCTTGAGGCCTACGCACAGCTCAGCAGGCGGTGGCACTACCTTTGCATATGGTACAACTGCCACTTACCAACACTTGAGGGATTAGCTTAGTTAAAAACCAGCATTTTTAGCTGGCTCACTCCACCACAGGGTAACAAAGTCCGTGATATTCTAATGAATACACCCCATCCCTTCTGTCCTCCCAAACAAAGCCAGATCCCTAGCAAATGCATGCCTGAATAATACAGCATTAAATTTTCTAATATTTAACGCCACTGAGGAGACCTGTGGAGAGCTTCACTCTCCATTCACAGCATGCTTGCTTCTCTCTCCCGAATTGTGTAATCTCTCCTAGGGAGAGAGTTAAAAAGATTCCTATTATCTCACAGTAACTCCCGGGGAACTGGTGTCATCTGTTCCAGGAGAGAGCCTTTTAGCACTGCTAGCAAGGTTTGAGAAGCCCTGAAACGCCATTTGCCTGGATATCTACTTTCCAAGGAGGCTGCTTGCACAGGTATACCCGCTGTCTTTAGCTCACAGCATGGAGAAAGGGTCACCCCAAGCCACCTCACTGTGGCAGAGCATGGGCTGCTTGCAGAACAGCACTGCTGGGAAGTGACAGACTTGGAGAACCTCTTCAGATCATAGCTTATCACCTTGATTAGGAAGGCCCATTCCTGAAGAAGGGTGCCAAATAACCTTCCTTTTCTATTTCTGGCATCTCTACAGTGGAAATAAAGGCTGCTTTCAGAATTTCACAGGTAATATCCTTGGGCAAATGTTTTCCTATGTTCTTTGATCATTTAGCACCTAACATGGTGGACCTCATAAGGCCTCAAAATACTAACCCGGACTATCAAATAACTTCAGCCTTATTAGCAAGGTAAGCTGAACAGAGTGGCAGTGCAAGTGTTAAAAGACCAGCAGCCATATCTTCTCCCCTGCATTTCCAACACAACTTTTCCAGTAATCAAAAGGAGAAAAACTTTCCAATATCTTTGTACTGACCTTGGACTAAAACCACCCACTTGGTTTTCAGGCCACTGTTTAACAACTGAGGAGACTGTGCTACTTAAATGAGACATAACATTTATGGTTCTTCTCCCCCCTCACCCCTTCCTGCGATGCATTTTGTGCCTGACAGTATTGCACAGCGACAGACATGTCATCACATTCTTTCAGTCTGCAACAAAAGCAATGGACTTCACTACTGCACAGCCCAGAAAGAATTACATCCCAGTTTGGGCTCTATTTTAGTTACACTGTGGTCCCTACGTATATTGCAGCCCAGACGCTGCTCCAGAAAGCAGCTATGACAGCTTTTACCTTGGGAAGAGGCATTCCCTGGACCCAGCACACCTATCTCACATAGCCTCTGGAGTCTGATATGCATATGTACAGTGAGCAGAGAGCAAACAATATAGGGTACACCGAGTGGGCTTGTAACACGCCTTCAGGTTCAGCTCGCTGGTGATAGTCAGGTAAGGGTGTAAGAGAAAGGAAAATTCCTCCTGTGTGTAAAGTCCTAAGCTTTATTCAAGCCCAGTTCAACTTCTGTCAGTGCCAGAGCAGAGAACTTAACCATCATCTCACTACTGCTGGATCTCCTTTCCTCTCCAACCCATGGTCTAGCAGTAGCCCCTTGTCAGCAAAGAAAATGGAGAGAGAGGACAGAAAGGAGGGAAAAAAAAAAAGCCTTTGGACTAAACCCCTGCATTTTAAGCCAGAGAAATAGAATAATCATTTGCACAGAAACCCAGCATCCTGGCCACTGCATGACCATACGATCCAGCTTTGGAAACCCAGATCAGCAACCCCAGCTGCTTTTCCAAATGCTCAGAGCCTCGAGACCTTTCTCTGGAGAGAAGAAGTTGTGTAATGTTAGATGAGCACCGGAGCAGAGCAGGGAAATGCCTGTGCGCAGCCAGGAGAGCAGGTCAGAAGGGGAACCCTGGCCAGGCAGCCGCCTGCTCACATCATTACTCACAGCACCGCAAACTCATCTCCTCAGCTCTTTACGTTGCTGTATTTTTCTTGAGCTGTATTCCAGCACAGATGTGAAACAAAAAGAGCCAGCAGCCCAGCCGTATGTGAAATGAAGGCTAGGAATGGCTCCTTGTAAAGCCTTCCCAGGACTGTCTCCTCACACATTCCCATCAGGATATGAGGGCATGCATGGAGCTAAGGGTTTAACGCAAAGCTTCCTTGTCTTTAAGGAAAGCCGTCCCCAAAAGCAGCGCAGTTATAAGACGACAGGAACACGTGAAGGGCTGCTCATACTATGCTGGGTTTGTAGACAAGAAGAGCTGGAGTGAAAAGTGCTGGAAGAATCAACAGGTCAGGACAAGAGAAGTCACCAACTGATGCCCAGGCTCCCAAGGGGTCTATCTAGCGGATCTGTGAAGTGCTTGGATTTCCAGTGGTCAGGATCATGCCATGGTATGCAATTTAGCAATACGCAGGCTTAGAAGCCCTCCCCCCACCTCAAACTTTCCCGTTATTTCCTGTCTTCTTGGAATTTGGTCTTTTTTTTTAAAAAAAAAAAAAAAAAAACAGGAATTATGGGACCATTTTTCTGCATGTGTGCTGGAGTACACAGCACACACTAATCTCAAAAAATATAGCTTCTGCTAGCATCTCAGGAAGGGGCGGACTTGAACTGCAGCCTCCAGGAGAGCTGTCCTAGAGGCTGCAAGGACATGGGACCCAACGAGTATATCAGAAGGGGGAAGAGGCACCAAAACAGTCCCCAGAGGAAGGCTCCAAGGTTCACGACAGGCTGGGACACGATACCATCCTGTCTGTGGGTTTGAGTTTCCTGTTGTGGCAAACCAAAGTCCACCTGAGCAAACAGCCCCAGAGGAAAGCTGGAACAAGATAATGATTGCCCTGCCACCCACATGGCAGAGGAGCACTTCCCTGTGCAACTGAAAGTTCACTGTGTCCGGCTTGCTGTGGCACACACTGAAAAGCACCAAGCTGTCCCAGAAGCTCCTGTCTCCCGATGGAAAGCGTAGGACCTCTGGCTCAACTCAGATGCATGTCCCTGCAGACAGGCCACTTTTTGCCCACCAGGCCTGGAAGAGCTGCAAGGAAAGGCTGCCCTTGCAGGAGGGCTGCTGCCAGTCTCAGAGATGTCAGTAAAAACACCTCCTGCACTAGGAGCTCTGTGCAATGTGTCCCCAAAGGGAGCAGAAAGCCATCTGAGGAACTAACTGTATTCCATTTGCATCAGAAAAACAGATGTGCTCAGCACACAGAATGAACACTCTCATCCAGGAGTCAGGACCTTGAGTTCTCCCACCCTCGCTGGTTTGTCACGTCTGTGCTGCACCTAGCGGCTGTGGACCCTGCACTCAGAGCTAGGCTACTCCAGCCAAGTCCGCAAGGGTCACCTGGGCCCGGGGCTGGCTGTGCAGGACTGCCACCACGTAGGTGCACTGCAGAGACAGCCCAGCTTACAGGTGTAGCAGTGTGCTCGGGCAGCGCGGAGCTGCGTGCGGACCGCAAACAAAGCCCCCAGCAGTGCTCCCCGCAGACTGTGCCTCCACGCACACAAAAGACGCCTCGATTCTTATAAATCTGCCTTCCGCACCCCCCACCGAGGCTCCCCTCAGGCTCCCAAATGGTGCCGCGGTGGCCCCGGCTGCAGAGGGACCGTCCTTTGCCCCACAAAGCGTTTGCCTCCGGAGTCCTGCCCGGAGCAGGAGTCCAGTCCCACCCGTCCAGCCCTGTGGGGCGCCGAGGGGGCCAAGATCCCCACGCGGGAGCCCGGAGAGAAGCGCAACAGCAGCAGCTCCGGGGCACACGGCGGGAGGGCAGCGCAGGGCGCCCGGGGATGCCCGCGGCGGGCCCTACCTGCCTGAAGTCGGCCGTGAGGGTGACGAGGGCGCCGTCGGGCTCGCGCAGCTCCAGGCTGATGCAGTCGGCGCCGCTGTCGGCGTGCAGGCTCTCCTC